GAGGGCTCTTCATCCACATTACTCGATGGAGCTCTCCCGTCCAGGCCAGAGGCTGCTGCTAATGTGGTGGGCCACGAACCAACAGCAAGATCAAGTAGTTCAGAGATCTGTGGTTCGTCTGCTGGCGATAAGGCCGGTTCATCAAGGGGATTTTCGCTGCCATGTAGAACGGCGTCAATAAGCGCATCCAACTCAGGGTCGAGCGGGGAGGCAGGCTGGAGCTGGCCGTCGTCAAGCGGCACTTCTAGTATCAGCAGTTTTCCCCAATCCTCCTCACCGAATGCATCTTCGCTTCTCCTCTTACGACTTGCTTGCTTCCCATGTGGCGTTACCTGTTCACCAGTTTCTGCCCGGAACAGTCGAGCTGCCGCGCCGGCGGTCACCTCCACTGAAAAAGCATCCTGTATCTCTGCTTCTAGTTCATTGACCGGCGTAAGACCCGGGAACAATTGAATGCCGGCATCTTGCAGGTTAGGCGTTCCTGTTGCTGTTGAGAACGTGTCTGCACGGGATTCTGTGCTACTCGGATCGAATAGCTCGCATGTTTCGCCCCCCCAGCGAGAGGCCAGCCTCCGGGGCAAGGAAAAGCGTGTAATTCTTTTCCTCATAAACCAACTGCACATGTAGACGAGGAACACTACCGCAGCAGAAACGACAGTAAGTGATGCGAACAGAAAGGGGATGCTCAACTGGCGCGCCGCCAGCGTGGGCCTGCCCCACTTCCGCTGCACTCCATCTCGATGCGTGGTGTCTTGTGACTTTAGAAGAGGAGCAAAAGGAGGATACTCAGGAGGAGAAGAATTCCCAAAAGGGAGGTCTCTCCAACCTGCAAAACTGGAACCATAAAGTATATTCTCGCTCATCTGCCACCGTCAGCAAGACGAATCGAGGAAACTCATGCTGGCCAGCCGCCGATGCGTTCAGGGAAACGGGTGCTCTCCCTGACAGAAGATGATAATTTGTACAAAGGCAAAGAAAGGATGAGAGAAGTTCGTGCAAGTCAGCAACAAGGATGCCAAACGACGACGGCTACTACGAGCAAAGAAGGCGATCAGTTCATTCGAGACTTCCTCCCGCAGTAACAGGAACCTCAAGAGATGAAACTCCGACTCCGATAGGAAAATTAACTATCTCCCTCGTTAGAAAAGACAAGAAATATGCAAAATTCAATCATTGACCTTGTATCAACTTGATCCAACTTCGAGACTTCCCCACAAATTAAACCTCAGGTGGTCTATCTTGCAGAGAGGGAACAAACAATATATTTTTAGAAATAAAGCAAGCCACATTAGACAGGGGGAAAAGGCTATGAGGCCAAATGTTCTCTGCAGCTACGCAAGGTCCGGGGCTGGCTTCAGACTGGCACTGCACCCAGGGCGATGACCCGGACTAAGCCGGCGAGGGGACTACTATGATTCTTCCTCCATTAGGAGAATTGAACCACAAACGACCAATTATAGACTGATCGTTGATATTTTAAGATTATTTCAAGGGTTATGGGTTGAATGTAGCGTGCGTATGTTGAGTGTACACCTATATCGATTCCCACAGGAGTCAGTGTAGCAGTAGTGGCAGCTGACTGCACTGCTCTTTACAGGTTCATCGATCCCGACAGCACCGAAGGATCCACAGGCATAAGATATGAAATTTTGAAAATAGTAAATGAATATTCTTTATGCCACAGGAGAATGCACACATAATGAAGGAAGGCCGTTCCGTGGCGCTGCCAGAAGATGTAGTGAGCACTGCTCAAACGGCTGCACGTGCTTGTCGATCACATGAATACCTACTCAGGTCCACACTCGAAATGTACACGTTACACTCAACCCATAACCCCTGAAATAACCTTAAAATATCAAAGAGCTGGTCAAAATTTATATTTTGGGGTTCAACTCTCGCAAATGGAGGAAGAGTACAAATAATAATCCCCTTGCTGACCCCTTTCGGGTGCCGTGCCAGTCTCACAGGCAGCTGCAGAGCCTGGATAACTGCCGCGCACGCTTGGCTTCAAAGCTCTATCTCCTGTCTAATGCGGCTTGATTTATTTCTCATAGTATACTAGTTATGCTCTCGCTGCCCGGCAGATCTTCTGAGGCCCTATTTGGGTACTGTAGTGCACGCGCACTCGAATGGAGCTCATGGAATTAGACCCTAGTGGTCTAATTTCACGAAAGGGAACAATTAAAACATAAATACACTTATATTGGGACACTTTAGATAGAAAAGAGGCCAAATAATCCAAGAGTGCTCGTCCGCCTACAGGGGGCTGACCGTGAGGCTGACGCAGCAATTCGGGCTCCGACCCTCTGTGGTGGGAGTTAGGCAGTTCTATTATTCTGGTCTTTGCCATAGCAATAGGGGCTTAAATAATGTTCGGAAATTAAGATTTGGTTTAATGGGACGTGGATACGAGATGTGGCGTGTGCACGTAGTTAGGCATACTTAGACGACATACGCAGTCACAGTGAAGTTGATCTGTTCACTACAGGTACTGTTGTAGTGCCTGCGCACTAGAGGACGCGCGAAGGTCACGCGCAAAGCGGCGAGAAACTCGAGAGCCAGTGTAAATGCAAAAATTCTCAGCAGCTAGTTCGCTTCATAACTTCCTTTTAATGCGAAGGACAAATTGCAGTCCGAGGCCAAGGTTACACACACGAACCCAAGGCGAAAGACAAAGTCTCCTGAGGCTCACCTTGCACGGTTTGCCAAGTTGGTATTGGATGAATTTTCACAGGCATGCACGCTTTCCCCTGAGCTCCAAGAAAATGATAGAAATAGCCTTCGACAATGCTGCTGTTAACATCAAAAGTGCACTTGCTTACGCCAGCATGTAGGGATGCTTCGCTGTAGCATGCTCTGTACGAAGCTTTTACACATAAACAAGAGTGTAAAAACTGTCTACAGTGCTACTACAGACAAGAAGAAATGGTTTGATAGTTCTTGTACGTGACCGCGCTTCGACACGTTAGTTGCAACGGGGTCTGCTGCAACACGCCTCAAGCAGCTTCCCCCCTCCCACCTACAGGCCCTTGGAGCGTAGAACCTAGGAAATCTGGGGACTGTAGGGGATGTTATCAGATGCTTTGTAGGAACTCACAGCATACGCTGTTTGGCGCGATTCATGTTGATGACTGTCCTCGGATGAGATCGCGTACTTTCGTTACAGTCCCAGCCAGAATTGCATTACAAAGTGCTGTGTAGCGTTGTCTGCCTGAAGGTGGTAGTACCCCTACAACAGAGGAGGCGGCCCAATTATCGACTAATAGCAGCTGGATTCCCCACGGCCCTATGGAAATTACCATTGTTGACACGGCACCTGCAGCGAGATGGTGGGGGCTGTAGCAATTTAAATCGGTGTATTCTTATGAAGGAAAAGGAGCCAGGGGGCTTCGACTTCCACGAACCCCCCAGCTTGATTCTAGTCTAGCAATGTCTTCTGCCGTATGCATGCATTGCGCTCGCCTACCTCATTCTGCCCAAGGAGGCACTCACCTCAGCGGTGCAGCCGCACCAGCGGAGAAGCAGCAAGACAGCTGTTAAAGGCAGGATCGCTGACCAAAGCAAACCCCCTTGCAACCTACCTCAAGGCAGCCCCACAGCAGAACCTTCCTGTGATGCAACTGCTAACAGGTCGCTTCCTCTCCTCACATTCAGTGTCAATCCGCCATTCACTCCTTCCTACCGCTGTGCCCAGCAAGCCAAAAGGCTCTAGGAGATGTTATCAGCTGCCTCTTAAAATCTCATCTTAATTACTTTGAATCGACTGCTTTTGCTACTGCTAGGATAAGCTGGCTAAGATGGAGGACCCCCGTTGTTGGTTGAGTTATGCCGCGCTATCCCGCCGCTGTACCAACGAGAGTGTTCGCCTGATCAGAATACCAGTAGCGTCAACTGAGCCATAATAAACTTCAGAAAGCGGGATCGTGTCCTCAACAGCCTCGAGGTGTTCTGGGCACAACGGTATAAAGGCACGGCCGTTATGGTACTAAAAGGAGGCGGCCGGTAATAATCAGTTGCTGCACACGTAGCTGCTGCTCGTGCTCAACGTCAAACCCACACCCCAGCGTGCTCATTCACCCCTTTAATGCATTCAAAGCACACGAGGCAATTGCTGTTGAACCCGGCTCAGGCAACCAACACTGCCGGTAGAAAGAAACATACCACCCGCCTAAAACAGATCACGCAAAAGCCACCCACTACAGATTCTGTTACTCCCTTCCCTGTCGATTGGCGCTCATTGCGAAGCTCCTGCAAGCAGTAAGCATTTATCTAGCAAACGTGGGGGGGCAATATACTTCTCACAGACAGTAGAAAAAGCGAAGGAGTCCGCCAATACCGAACGTGCTGGAGGCGCTACGCCTGCACTGCTACCTCTTCAGCCGTCTGCTCGCCAGCGCATGCCTGCTGCACTTCAAAAGTAATCCACCCAATGTGCACGCAACCCCAATATGTTGCCAATGCACCTGAGGCCCTCTCGCACTGCAGCTTGACTCGCTGGAAAGAGACTCCAAACATGGGGTGTAGCACCGCCGGCGTGCTACCGAGTTGAAGTATCACAACTGCATCGTCTTTATAAGCTTGTCGTATTTCTTGGTATCATCGTTCCAACGTATAGGCGGTAGGGTTTGGGCTTTGCTGCTGACTGCCCGTCAGGTTGGACTGTGTGGAGCTGATCCACTCTTCATGATCTTCTCTCCAAGGGCCCCACTGTTCTGCAGTGAACTTTGTCGTGGAATCCGGTGTACACAGCAAAGCCATCTTCAGGCCAACCACCATCATTGGTGGAGGCCGCTGCCTTCTTCTGTAATACCCCAAAGCGGTGTGCAAAGTGCGAGCGAGATCTACATTGTAGGAATACCTAGAACTCTGCGCGTTTATCTTTTGCGCAAGAAACCTTGCATCTTGTATGCGATGGAGTATAAGTGGCCACCACAAATGCCCCATTGACCTTTCTCCAAGCACTTCTGCCGCACAATATAGCGTGTCAAGAACCAGAAATATCATCCCCATAGTCTCTATCGCGCACTTGGCCTGGCCGCGTCTGTAGGTCACGGGCATATTTTTGATTGCAAATGAACAGAGGGATTCTACATTGGACAAAAGCTCGTTGAGGTCTGACGGGGCGAACGTACCCTTCTTCATTATTTCTACACATCTCCTGAGTGCATTAACTGCAAACCGTTGGGTTGTACACAACGACATGGCTATGCTTAGGTCAAAGCTTCGTACAGTCACTGTCTCCTCAGTTGGAGATGTCTCCTGGACTGGAGGAACACGATAGAAAGGATGGGTCTTCAGAAGCTCTGGAGGAACTCCCGAAAACATGTTCCCCAGCCAGCCGAAATATAGTAGGACGTCCCCATCTGAAGGCGGCACCAACGTTGGTGCTGTCTGAAGAAAGCAGAGCAAAAACAGCAGCAACAAAGGCGCCAGCAGTAGCAGGAGCAGAAGAAGCAGCCACTACAACAACAACACCATGCAATCAGGACTATTGCAGTTCATCAGTTCATCTCAGGAGCTATATGCACGCATAGACACATACGCACACCCGACAGATGAACGACAGACAGCGGCGGCTGTTGCAGCAAGTATAGAAAGCAACGAGAAGTGATGTCTAGGGTGCGCGCGAACGCATGGACATTTTGCATGTAGCAGCGCTAACCTGTTGCGATGGTTCCCGCTGCTGAAATGGAATGGTAACGGGAGGCAGCAGCAGCTGGGAGGCAGCACCAGGGGCCCCAGAAAAAGAAGTGGGCAGCATGATTGCTGCTGGTTGCTTAGGAAGAATTAATCTCGTTGCAGGAGCAACGGCTGATGCGATTTCCAAGTATCTAGACGGCTCCTGGTTTGTCTGATGTGACTCACGCTTCCGCGGCGCAGCAAGGGCCACCGATTGAGGCGTCACAGCAGCATTCAGCAGTTGAGGCGCTGCAGCAGCCAGAGGTTGAGGGCCTGTAACAGCCACCGGTTGGGGAGCTGCAGCAGTCACCAGTTGAACCGCTATAGCAGCCACCGGTTGAGGGCCTGCAGCAGCCACCGGTTGAGGGCCTGCAGCAGCCACCGGTTGGGGAGCTGCATCAGCAACCGGTTGGGGCGCTCCAGCAGCAACCACCACTTCAGACGCTTCAGAAGCAGCCACCCCTTGAGAAGCTGCAGTAACTATCGATTGTACCTGTAAATCCGGAAGCAGCAAGGCAAGAAACTTGAGTTCTAATACTGCAGCAGCCCCTCACGAAAAAGCCTTATCTAATCAATTCAGAAGCTCACCTCCGTTGCAGCAAAGGAAGGCTCAGTGGAGACAAGAGGACCTGCAACATCAGCAGCTGAGCCACGTAGCATATTTTGAGCGGCTGAGGGCCCCGCGGCTGGGTGCTGCTCTTCGCAGCTTCCCTCTTCATGGTTTTCCCAAAGATCTCCTGCTACGTGAGAGGGCACTGAGAGCTGGTCATACACCGCACTCCATGGGGTACTGTCGCTCTGCGCCAAGCCAGAGGCTCCTGGTGATGTGGAAGGCCGCGAACCAGCAGACACACCAACTGGCTCAGAGGTCTCTGTTTCTTCAGCTAGAAGCCAGGCCGATTCAGTAAGATCTTCGTCGTCAAGCAACACGGAGTCAATAAAAGCATCCAACTCAGGGTCGAGATGGAAGGCAGGCTCTAGGGGGTCTTCCTCAGGCGGCACCTCAAGTAGCAGCTTCTTCGCCCAATCGGAATCCCCACCAATAAATACTTCTTCGCCTTTCCTCTTCAGACCTGCGTGCATCCCATCTGTCGTTACCTGCTCAGTGGTTGTCCCCAGGAAAACTTGAGCTGCCGCGCCAGCGGTCACCTCCACTGAAAAAGCATCCTGTATCTCTGCTTCTAGTTTATCGACCGGCGTAAGACCCGGGAACAATTGAATGCCGGCATCTTGCAGGTTAGGCGTTTCTGCCCCACCAATAAATACTTCTTCGCCTTTCCTCTTCAGACCTGCGTGCATCCCATCTGTCG